CAATTCTGACTCAGATGGAGGAAAGTTGCCTCTTGAATGACCAGCTCAACTTTCTGTAGCATTTAAGTATTCCTGGGAAGTCTCCCATCCAAATATTGACTCAGCTCATAATGACTTGTCTTGTAAGACCTGACCGGACCAAAGCAGGAGGTGATCTGGTTGCAAGATTTGTATTTAATTAAAATAATGGAAATATTTTAAAATGCTAAATACCTTTTCTTATTTGTCCAAGCTGCTGCTGTATTACGGGTATCTTTTTGTAGATCTGAGAGCTTGCTTGCTAGCCAGAAACTTTCTTCTGCGGGCACAGCTGTCCTATTCCCGGTCTTTCCCCCTTTCTCCTTTGCACACCTGCATTTATCCTGCTTCATTCCACGTGACACTTTTTTAGCCAGCAGCCCACTAATCAAGGCTTCATGAGACTGTGAAACCAGTACTAGTAACAATGAATCTTCACTATTACTGGAGCAGGCCAGAATGTCTTTGACATTCATGCAGCTTTGTGGAGACAGCTAAAAAGAAATTGCCATTTATTCCAATTACGTACAACAGTGCTGCTCTTCTCTAGTGAAATAATTTGTATTAAAATAATAGTTTGATTGTTTTATCCACATCTAAATTGTGTGGGCTTTGCCTGATGAACACAGATTCTATTCTGTATTACTGCTTGCTCATACAGTTTTGCATTATAAAGCAGTTTACAACTGGCTTGTATGTGTAAGGGTGAAGAGGGATAAAGTATTTGTTTTTGTTGACCTAAGCCCCTAATCACTGACCTACATATATGTAGCAACTGAATACATGCAGAATTTCAATATGCAACATTTTACAGATTTGATATATATTGAAACTGTTCTTACAAGTGATTTGCAGTGTATCACAGGTGTTGGGGCTGGCATGCACTTTACAAAGAGATGAGAAAATCTGCCCTCTTTTTAACCACAGTCCTCTTGATGACAACAGTCTACATATCTACAGACAGGGGAGCTGGTAAGCTTCTTGGCTACCTGAACAAACTAAATATGTATGCCCCAACAAAAATCTTACAACATTCCTCACAATCAATATAATTTATATTATCTGCTAGTACTCACCTAAATGACTTCTTTTCTCTTATATGACCAGCCTATTCCATCCCCTGTTAAAGTTTTCAGCTTAGTTACAATTTATGAAATGACTGATGACAATCATTCTTCATTCCAGCTGGTGTCTGAACTATATCCATTGCACCATAGTCACAGTGCACCTAAGCCAGCTCATTCATGAGAGCCTTTTCTGCCGGATGGTTGTGAAGAAACCCAAATTGATGGGATCTTAGTTAAAAGTCACAAGTAACAGCAACTAGGTGAGTCCTATTGAAGATGGGTGAAAATTCATGTGTGCTTCTCCACTTTGTTGTGCAGTGATCCCAAGAGTGGGGTTATCAGTTAAATCTCCCTTCTCCATATGCAAACACATCTGGAAGAAGAGGGTACAGTGCAGTGGAAAAATGTGTATTAGAAATACACCTATAAACTGCTTTATACGATAAGAACAAAGGCTTCTAGGTAAGATTTAATAGTAGAAACTGACTCAGTAGCTTGGAAGGAGTAGGGCACCACTGCAGCAGAGTAAAGTCACTCCTACAAGCACAATTCCTGAGTCCCTTCTCTAGCATCCCTAATGCCCTGCCTTAAAGAATTTCAGGTCTATCCCATTGCATAACAGCTAGGCTAAAATTAAACTGCTAAGGTTGCAATCATTCTTTTGCTCCTGTTGTTGGCACAAGTTAAGGGCTAATGAGGCAAGAGGAGGGCCCAGGACAAAGGAGGAGGGGTGGGGATGGGGAAACCTGGAATTTACAGAGGCATTTATTCAGTCTCTGTGGCTGAATGAGTTCTTATGCTTTTGAGGGTCCACACAGCCACTCTCTTCTTCATGCTCAGATCAAAATTATGTGCTAAGACAAAGACCTTGGAGTGGAAAAGCAGAAATGTAGAGAAGGTAATACATGGCTTCTAATATCTGCCATGCTATCAGCATGGAAGAAGATATACTCTCCCCTCAGGGTCTCATATGTAATCTCTCTCTGCTTTAATTTGGCGCAGTGGGTCATTTCATCTTTCCATACCTGGGCCATTAGAAATGAGAATTGTAGTGTGTATAAATTCATATGGACAGCTAGGCAGGGAGGAGAATTTCCTTTTGTTGTTTTTTTTTTATGATTTGAGAATTAGATGGAAACATCCTGATTTTTTTCTTTTGTATTTATACCTTCTACTCCATAGGTTTTTTTGGGGAACAAAGCCCTTCCCTTATTAGGGATAAAGGACCTGATGACTTTGTACTGTTTTAATCATCAACCATTTAGTCAGGAAATTATGCCAATTTCTCTTTGAGTTCCTATGAGTCTCAGGGAGGGATTAGGGCAATCTTGGGCCATAGGCACTCCAAGATGTAATGATTCCATCTCTGTGATATGGCTCCTAGACTTGGATATTGATAGAGCCTTATAGTACAAGAGGGGATACATCACTGGAACACACAGTACATTTTAGGAACCCTTTGTGACATTTGTTTACCATCCACTTGGTGAATAATAGTGTTGGAATTGTAATTTTACTTAAAATTCTGCGCTGTATTTACTTTCTTATATGGTATGGTTCTAGTTATATGGGAGGAGTATGCTCTTAGAAGTGGACAACAAAGGGGAAGGCATTCTTGCAGTTGGCCTTTTCCTTTTTTATGGAAATAAGGGGAGAATGGGGATATGTGGAGAACTTCCTCATTATGAGTACCTTATATTTAGTGCTGGGGTGGGGATAAAGTCTATATATTTGTAACAATAAAGACAAAGGGCGGTGAGGAGAGTGTATTGTGCACATGGTGATGGGGAAATACCATCAAAGCTGACAAGATAGTAAAGCAGAGCTAAAAGAAGAGATCTCTCATTTGGGAGCCCAGGCCAATAAAAAGAGTCTCCTAGACTAAAACATTTAATCCTGGGATCAGAGCTAAAATAGCACTGATGAGGAAAAGGGGGTGGTGGCATTCTTGCTGCTCACAGCCTAACTATTGTTGAATGGCTGATGTCAAAGATTTGGCCTCCCCTCTTTTTAAAAAGTACTGGAAATTTCCAAGTCTGCCATTTTCTTTCTTCAAAAAGAAGAACAGGAGTACTTGTGGCACCTTAGAGACTAACAAATTTATTAGAGCATAAGCTTTCGTGGACTACAGCCCACTTCTTCGGATGCATAAGTGGGCTGTAGTCC